TCAAGCACAACATGCAAAAAGCTACGCACCAACATGGAGCAAACACGGACTACAGCATGCAGACCAAGAGCTCTACCAGTGTCCACGGCCACCGCGCATCCATACAGGTTAGCTTGCCTTATAAGTTTTCTTGACAGGAAATTTTCTCAGAGTAAGCTACTGTCCATACGTGTAAGTTCCGCACTCTACATATCTCTTTCATCTAGGCCATCCCTTCAAAGCCTCATCAGAAATTGAAAGCATTCCGTGCTAAGAGAAAACATTCGATCAATGGAGAAGGGGTGTGGTTACAACTGTTGATGTGTCATCGTCGGAGGGTACTTTTCAATATTGAACTAGTTTGAAAGCAGAGTTCGAAAGGTCCCAAATAACTGGATCACCGTGTAAGAAAGAAGGATCAACTCACATCGTGGGTCGAAGTGCACCATTGGTATTCGCTTGGATCGCATCCAACGCTTTCATTGTTTTTTGTGGCATCTGAATGAATGAATCGTTGCAGACAATAGGGACGAAAGAAAGCAATTTCACTGAGCTGTGCCTAGATATTCTAGGTTTCATACTTATATGAATGAAGAACTTTGCGAGTTAACCAAGGACACGTGCGAGAAGAGAGTCGAACTGCTTCTTTGCTCTTCCCCTCTCTTCCCTTTCTAGATTCGATGTTTTTACACCTATCTAGCTATTTTCTGTTAACCTCGACTTAATCACTGAGAAAATGTACAGTAAGCATTAAACCTAGTTTGATTTAACCTAGTTAATCCATCAGTCAGCATTTATCTAGTTCTGATGGAAATCCGTCACTGGTCCAAGTTCAGATAATTGAACGGCGACATCCTTTGCTTCTTTTGGCGAACGTTAGGAATGGCATAACGTGCTAAGAACCTGGTTTAGTTCAACTGAGTGCACACTCAATTGTCGCTACTTTTATCAGTACAGTTGACGCTCATACCACTTTCTGTCACCTACCATCACACCTGGTCTTGATCGCTTGCCAGTGATAACTGCACGAAGTTGAGACATTTGCATTCAGACGCCCCTATCATCCGTCTCTATTATCAGTTCATAGTGCTCACCATCGGTTGTCCCCGAGTCAAGGTTCTACTGTCACCGCGAAGTCCGCAACGAAACTGGTGGTTTCCACACTTTGACATCCCTTATCAGTTCTTATCAGTTGCTACCACTTTCTATCACTCACCTTCTTGGTCCCCGCCTCACCTCACATAAAATTCATGAGTGCGAACATCTTACTGTCAATGCGAAGGGCGTTGACAAAACTGATGGCGTTGGCATTCCGATGCCCATTATCAGCCCTTATCACTTGCTATCACTTTATTCGCTCACCATTTGGGTCCCAGTCCTACCCCACATAATATTCATGAGTGCAAACTCTCCACTGTCAACGCGAACGGCGTAACGAAATTGGTGACATCAACATTCGACGTCCGTTATCAGCTCCTATCAGTAGTTATCACTTCCCGCCACCCATCATCAGTGTTCACGCCCAGCCCCCTATATATCCTAGAAGTTTGAGCGCTCTGGGTCCAAAGGGAACGAAGTTATGAATTTCCGGTCAGACTAATAAACACACACGCACAACCACTTAGCGGATATACAGTGCGTACCAAAAGTATGTGGACACCCTAAAATCGATTCTCAGGGGTCAGCTAAAGGCTTTTTGTGTCATGAAACCTCCACCATTCAACTCCTAGTGGTCGACAAAAGAAAAGAACAAACAAAGGAAAAGTAGTACCCCAAATGACCCTAACAAGTTGCTAAATTAGCTGCTTGGGAAGAGTTCGACGAAACAGGTATCGGAGCCTGGTTCAGAACATGCCGAACAAAATGTTGAACTTATCAGAATCTTTGGTAGGCCTACCAGTCTTGATTCTGAAGATATTTCTGTTTTTCGAAAAGTGTCCACATACTTTGATACAGGGGAAAAATTTTCCATTAATTAAAAAATTAAAGCTGCATGTAAAACGAAGGGAAATGAGAAAATCTAAGGTTTCCGTATCCGAGAAATCGAATGGTGGTGATCTCATGGTGCAGAAGTCAACAGTTTCTAGAAGGAAGAATTTCAGGTGTCCACATACTTTTGGTACGCACTGTATATAGTAATTCAATTCGACTCGAGAAGAGACTGTTATTTATCGATGTATCATAAAAGCAAAAGCAGCATAAAGCATTTTGCCATTGGTCAATCCCTTTTTGGGATGCGATACGATCCTACCTCAAGTGAAGTGGAATCGATGTATCATGTTCTTAATAATTGAATTATTTGCTCATTTGCAAGTACTGTAATTAGAGGTTCGTCTGATGACATTTTTTCGAAGGTTCACCAATAAGCTATACGTTGATGAACGTCGAAAACATTCTAATCCATACGGCTCAAACGAAGGTTATGGTTCAGAGATGAGTGTATTTAATCTTCATGCATACTTGTCTTGTTTCCATGACCCAGATTGGAGTAGCCTAAACCAGGGCAGTTATTCGTATAATGTATGCTTCTTCGCAAAACATTGTACCGGTGAATTCGTTATTAGCTTTGTTTTGGGAAGATATCTGGACAATTCCCGGTTAAG